ATATTTATGCTGCCCTAAGTCATTTGCAGCCAAGGTCCCTTTTATTCTCATAACTGAGTCCATTTGCTGATATGGGAAGAGGGTGTTGGTGATGGGTTACTCCATGTCCTTTCACTACTTTGTGCAATCCCCTGCTCTGAATAGGCCATGGGCTTTCCCCAAGTTTACAGTGCAGCAGTTCTCTAGGTCTTATTATTCCATAGCCTGTGCAAGTAATCCAAAGAATTTATAGGTGCCCAATAGTTTTATCTTGAACGATGAAAATTTCTAATTTCTAACCACATCTTGTCTTCAATTTCTTTGTAGGTTTTTGTTTGAGGCTTTGGGTCTTGGAAGATACCAGGACTAGGACTGCACCAGGACTGTGTCCCTGTCCCTACAAGCTGCCACTGTCAGGAAAAGCTGTTTACTGCAGCAAAGGTGGAGCTGCCTCTACAGTGATTCAAGGAGAGAGGCTGAGCACAAGAAAAGTAAAAACACGTTGCACTGATGGTGCAGAGGTTTGAAAGAATATGCAAAGCACAGGCTCCTGGGAAATGGACATTGTCACATGTGGCTCGTTAGCACACTGAAGCTCTGACCTAGCAAATATTTACATGCACTTAAGTGCACATTTGAAAGGGCTAAATATACACCTGCTCCCCGCTTCAGCTGCCAGACATCTCTAGACTCTGAATTTGGTGCAAATGTCTTTGACTCAAAAACATATGCTGCAGTTTTGCTGAAGATGTAGGTGTATTTTTATAATGGTTTGGTGCTGTTATTGTAAAAGTAAGCTTTTTTTTTTGAGTCCTTCTCTCAATATGTCATAGAGTATCCATTCAGCATCCTGAGCAATGTCTGATGAGGGGCTTAGGAGAATTTTGGGTTTCTACCCTCTTTCCTCTCTGCAGAGCCAGGTACATTGGAAATTCTGCCTGTGACCATGAGGTCAGCAAGAGCCTCCTCTCCTGCCATGAGCTCCCACTGCAGCCTGAGCATCCCTGCCTGTGGACCACCTCCACCAGGAGACAGCAACCCCAAAGAGCTTCAGCTGATCTCCTCAATGGGAATCTCTGGGGACAGTCAGCCCTGGCATCTGAGGAAGAAGTGATTTCACAGCTCCTGCCTGGCTGCCCTGCCTCTCCTGCTGTGGCACTGCCAGCCTGGGGAGCACTTTTCACCCTCACTGACATCACTGCTCTGCTGAGCCACCCCAGCCACAACCTCCTCCCCCCTCCCCTCTCTCCTGGCATGCTGCCACCCAAACTCACTGGGGAGCTTTAGGGTTTTTTTGTTCTCTGGTGGGAAATTTCATTTGACCCTTTCAAGTGGGACAAGAGCAGATATTAGATTTGTTGACGATGAAGTGCTTTTATCTGAATTCAACAGAAGAGGCACAATGGAAAGATTTCAGCTGTTGAGCAAAAGCACTGCACCTATTACAGAGTTCATATGCATTAACAAGTGGCACATCACTGAAGGCTCTCCTCACCCTTGCAGATATACCCTCCTTCCACAGAAAACTTGTTAATCTCTCCCTCAGCTCTGCCTGCTCTACCCACCCTTGGGAAAATGTGGTGTTTGACTGTCTTGTCAGATCTTGCAATGATAGAACTGCTATTAGCAGGTAAAAACTACATGAAGGTGTTTTATCTTTCTGTAAGTCTTATAGGTCTCCTTGATGAGGGATGGGACAGCAAGTTAGAACACCAGATATCTCAGGTTGTAATTAAATTCTAGGATCACCATTGCCCTAGTGAATAAGCACTACTTTATGCACACATTTAGAAAGACAGATAAATAAACAGGCAGACAGAAAAATAGGAAACGAAGATCACAGATAGATACATAGGTGGATAGATTTCAGTCAGAAACAGAATTAAATTTGCACTTATTTTCCTGTGTGATAGAGTCACATAGCTACTAAAAAAGTATTTTCTAAAATTTAAGGCAAAAGAATCGACTCTGTCAAGAAGCAGAGTTGGGAACTCAGACTTGGCAATGGAAACTGAAAGGAACCCCAAATCCCACATAACTGTTATCTGACATCATACAGCAACTGCACATGGTAGTAATGGCAATAGAGCACCTATTAACTAGAGAAAACCCTGATGAAATTTGTGGGCTTGCAGTCAGTCAATCCTGCAAAAATAGCAAATGTTAGCCCTCATGCCAGTGATCCAAGCACATGGGAGCATGACTGGAAAGGAGCAGCAAATGCTTTGCAAGCTCACCAAGGTGGCCCAGGCACTGGGTCAAGAGTCTGAGCTAAGAGTTAAAGAGAGCATGACCATCCCTGAATTCCTGCCCTGTGGCAGTGCCCAGCACAGCTGGCCAGGGCCAGGGCCCCACAAGGAGGCTTTAACTGCTGCCAGTTGGACTTTCCTTAGAAACACTCTGAAGTCCAGTCCTGCTGGAGCACAGTTTGTGTTGGCTTCCCTCTCCCCGTGGCCCTTACTCAGGAAATGGAGCAGGCACCAGGCAGGCTCCACACACTCCATGGCACTGGGTGTCTGCAGAGAAACGTGGAGCTCCTGGGCAGAGGGAGCTTCCCTGGCTCCTTTTTGAAGCTTTGTGTTCATTTACAAAGTCATAATTACACTGGACAAGCAACAACCGTTAGGATTAACTAATAAATTATTCCTAGCACCTTGTCCCTTTGTAAAGTCTCACAAACTTAATTTACATCCTCACATATCCAAGCAACAGATTTCTACTTAGAATAAACCATGGTTTCTAACTTCTAAGCAACAAGAACCTGTGCTTTACTTGATTTAGGGTTTTTTTTGCTAATCTTAGATTATCTTCAAGATCTTGAGAGCTGTTACAAAATTCAGATGAAGAGTGCAAAACTCACCCTCTAGGTGCAAAGCCACAGGTCCCCTGCCCCCCAGGACATTAGAGATGCCTTTCTCACCTTGCTGGATTCCAAGTGCAGAGCTCCAGGTGCACCTTCGTGGCTCTGAGTTTGAGGTTCAGAGCAGTTTTATGGACAAGCAGTGTCATTCAGCAAAGCCTGCAGCAAAACCATGGAAAATTTTCATTGACTTCTGCACAATTCAGCATTTGCTTTGCACTGATGAATGAAGTAAATGTTCAGCTGATTACTTCATGCAGCTTCTACTCCAAATATTAAACCATTGCTTCATTCTCTATTCCTGTGCCCTTACCAAATAGTAGAAGATTATTTTATGGGATAACCTCATTTTCCTTCCCTTCTTCCGGTGCCTTTCTAAGGCAGACCTGGAGCTGGCAGAAAAAAACCAGGCACAACCAATGAGCTAGACCTCATTAGAGCAGTAAGGGATTTTAGGCTCCTTCCTCATCCCAAGTGGCTTTGGCAGTTTCCTTTTATTCTTTAACATTGTTTGTATTATTTACACAGCTGCTCCACTAACTTATTCTTGTTATATGTTTATTTATTTCTTCCTTTTTTTTTTAAGTTTTACTCTTTAGATTTTAGAACAGCATCAATTTATTTTTACCGCTTCAAAAAATTATTTGCTTGTAATTAAACCCACAAATCTAATAGTGCCTAAGTGTAAGAGTGACTTGTGTTTATGAGGGGGCCACGGGCAGGTTTTGAAAGCTGAACCACATCATTTCACGATCCATAATCAGTTTTTAGGGGTTTTCTATTATTATTATTTCAAGGACCAGGTGTCTAAAAAGGTATCGTTTTTCTCACCAGCTTTTGCTGGTTTTAAAAAAGGTATTAATGCAGCTGTACAGGTTATAGCTGAGTGTGTGACTGCCCGCTGGATTTACACGCCCAATTACCCCAAAAGCACACAACCCTCCGAGACTCACACATGCAAAAAGCCTCTTGGCTGGAAAACTCTTGGCATGGATGCTCCATTTCCATATGCAGTCACACTGAATATGCATATACATTAGGTGCAGGAGCACACATACATTTTTCAAACTGGAGGCCTTGGCGTGAACCTAAAGAAGAAAAGACAAATGCTGCAAAAAAGGAGTTTAGGTCAAATTCAGTGAGCAAGGATGAATCTGCTGGGTTGTACTCCCGTGCCTTGTAGCAATGCACATTGTTTTTTGCAATTAAATATGCAAAAAGCTGTGGATTTTTAGTTTTATTTTTCTTTATGCCTTTACATCCTTTGAAAATTTATAATCTTTAATTTTCCCTTTCTGATTCTAATAGATGAAAACCAGCCCAATGTAAATTTTTGTCCAAAAGAGACAACTCAACAGAAAAAAAAAAGTGTTTCTGAGTATTAACATGTTTGAGAATCAGGCAACCAAAGACTGTAAACATAGACTTAGGTGTCTGAATTTAGGCACCTATTTTTTAAAACCTTGGCTTTGAAAATAAAATATCTGAATGTATATAGAAAATATAAATCACCAGTCACTTTTATTACATGTATGTTTATATAAAGACTTTAGAACACATTTTTAAAATGTAAACGTTCCTTAGTATGTTTAACTATGTGTCTAAAGAAGATGTAGGACAGAAAGAAAACAAAATTTGACAAATGTTTCTGATCAATCCTGAAGAAATCAATAGGAATTCACTCACAGCATGATTTCATTTAACTTTCCATGCTAGGAATAGTAACCTGGCTTTCTGTTAAAGCAAAAGCATTCATACTTCTTAGAGATTTAATTCTCATGTCAACATGTATCAGGCAGGCAGAGAATGGTTTGGAGACTGGGAGGGGAAGGAGGAAAGGATGGAAACACGGAAATTGTGTGGACTGAGCTGTATGGCTGGGTGACTTCATTTCACCAAAACCAGTTTTTAATAGAAAACGGGATTTTCATTGAGATGCATATTTCCCTTCCCCTTTGAGGGAGCAGAAAGTGTCTGTTTCTCAAACCATCTTTTAATGTTTATTTGAAAAATATCTAACACCCCAGAATAGGAACAGCTTGGTAGGGAAAAGAGAGAAAAGCCATTGAATCCTTACCACTGCCCCAGTTCCTTGGTGGGAGGCTCAGCCTGGCTGGCTGGGGGTGTCCCATCCCTGCAGCCACACACCCCACAGCATGCAGGAGTTTGGGATCTCCATCATGACACTCTTTCCATGCCACTGTAACACCAAAAGTAGAGGAGACAAGCCCAGACAACAAGAGAATGAAAACATGCAACCACAGCTCTTGTGAATGAACTTGGGGGTTTTTTGGCCAAAAGGGTAAGTATTTTGGCCCGTAACTCAAATGTCACAACAGAGAATTTTGCTTTAGAAATGTCATCAGGTTGGGTTTTTTTTTTTCCCAAAAATCAGACTTGGGTGAAGAAAACCCCTGCTTTCCACCTTCCCAAGCAAGACAAAACTCTTGGCACTCCAAGCTCCTATATTGAACTTGCTTCTACTCCCTTAGTAGACCAGAACCTTGCATGGTGTATGGAAACCAATGGAGCATTCAAACCCAGAGAACATCTGGTTTACAATATTTTCTTCTTGCTTTTTCATGGTTGTGCTCCTGGAAGCACATTTGGGTCCACAAGTGCGGGTGTGCACGTATGTCTGTTCTTATTTATTCTAAATATAAACTGTTTTCTGAAAGGGCATTATTCATAGGCAGATGAAAGAGCACTGTCCTTCTTAGAAGTCTGGTTCAAAACCTGAAGTTGACACTGGGTGCCATATTGGACTAAAGCAAAGTGTGGAAAGAGTGTTCTCCAAATTTGAGAGAGTCCTCTTTGGAAAGTTATGGGTAATAAAAAAGATCCCAGCTTTGCTGCTTCATTGAATCCTCAGTTATATATAAAGCAGATGTCATCTTTGCAATATGCAAGGTATAGGTTAAGAAACTCTATCAGCCAGTGACATCTAAGAGTGACATTGATTTGAAATGCACCTTTCTATCTGTGTGCATACAAAATTATGTGTGTGTGAGCACACACACAGTCTATGTGGCTTAAACACAACGATTTATTACAATTTTTTCCATCAGAAGCCAGATTTGACTGACCATAGAATTCATACAAAAAAAGACAAAAATTGTTTTTCTTTCAGGCTGAACTGATGGGTATGTCTGCAAACAGAAACACCACAAAATCCTGTTTCAGTCCAACAAACTGAAAAGGCTCTATAATTATGATCTTTATTTTCATTATTTTTGTGGGCAAGGTATGAAGCAAAATAGCTGTGTCTGTTTAGCTGCCTGAACAATAGAAAAGTTTATGCAGCTCTTGAGCTGAAATGTTTTTGACAGTTTTCAATTTTAGTTCTTTTGATTTGGTAAGAAATCTGCAAAAATATGATTTTGAAAATCACCAGTTTCATGCTTTATTCCTTTCTCAAAATTAGACTATATTGTCCAACTCCTCTTCACTTACTGTGTCTGAGGGAATCCTAGAAAATAGCTGGGAAGAATCAGTGCTGGGCTGTTGCTTAGAAACTGTCTGGGTTTCTATAATATTGCCTGATGTAATAGTTATATTGCCCACTTGTATCTGTTAACAAGCAATACAACAGAATCCACAGGTACCAATAAAGAAACAAACCTGGAATTCATTACTTTCCTTGAAAATTCATCTAGCTTGGCAAAATGTTTTTTTTTCAGGTGCTAATTAATAAAATAGGAGATGTACTGCCTCCACATATATCTATTTTATTTAGATTTATTTATTTTGCCCCGGGGAAAAGATGTTGTTAAGAACATAGTGTGTTAGTATAATTAGAATTTTGCAATGCTAAGGAAAGGTACGAGGTATGAGCTGTGGTTCTGTGGGGTTTCTTTGCTGAGAGTTAAAGCATGGCAACATGACCATTTTCTTAATATGTTTTAAAGAGAAGTAATAAGAGTGCCTTTGTAAAATCAGTAGGACAGGACATTTCTGATGAGTGCTGTTAGTAGACTCTCAGCAAAGCCCAAGCAAACAGATGAACTGTCTTACCTTAGTAGTGTCAGCATTCCCAAATCCATGGGCGGAAAAAAGAGCGAATGCAACCATGAGAGCAACAAGATGGACTCCACAACCACTCACGTGAAAATTATGTACTTCTATATTAAAAAAAAAGAAATAAAGCAACTTTCAGGTACAATAATGAAAGTTTCTCTCTTAAGAACAAGGACTACAATTTTTCCTATGAAAGCCAAGATGCAAACTCGCATAATTGCTGTTGCTGGGGTACGAGGAAAGCACCTGAGAGTTAAGTGAATTGGCAACACTTTGCAACCCAAGCCCCAGCAGCTCATTCCTCACCTGAGTGTGACCCAAAGCCCAGCACAGCCACTGGACACACACCTGTGCAGTGCTCTGGACAGTCTTATGGCCCTGCCAAATAAGATATATGTTTCACCTGTGCACACTGTCCTTGGAGCACACGCTCTCTCCTTTGCATGGGAGTGGATACAGCTCCTTTTGGAGGCTCCTGACTGCAGCACTTTTACAAGCCCATCTCCAGAAACTGGCTTCCTGCATTTGGAGGAGACATAACAAAATGATTGCAGCCCAGCCCTCAGTTATTAAGTGTGGGGGAAAGCACAGGAAGAGTTGTAGGGAAGAGGAGACTCAGTGACAGTTACTTTGTGTAAGTAAATCTTACTCACGGGAGCGCAGCTACCGCTTAGATGGATTACATTTGGCTCTATCTGGGGGCCTAGATTTGTGAGGGAAAACAGTTTAAACTCCTGGTTTGCCGTTCCACTTGTTCTCAGCAGGCAGAGGAATTGTGTTGGAGCAGAGCAGAAGCTGAGGTTGTTCAGCAACAACAAACGCGGGGGCGGATGCTCATCGCCAGGCGTGGGGATTTGGGAATGCAACTCACATAAGTGTTAATGGGAGTTACACGCGTAAATCCCTGCCCTTCAACATGATAATACATAATATACCCCTTAATTTTTAATTCACCAGGGTCTCAATTTTAAAGCATTTTCATATAGTTTGTCCTAATTATAATCATTTTTAATGACAGCTTAAAAATTTCACATGACTGTCTTATCACATACGGTACTTAATTTCTCAAGTGAACAGTTTCCATGTGGTGTATTCTGGGAATTTTGAGAACTAAAACACTAAGGAAAAAACTACTTTGTATAATCAAATGAGATGTTATTATTCCACTATGTTTTATATACACTGGAACAGAGTTTCTCACAGTAATGGTGACCATTTTGAAAAGTACTTAGGACTGAGACAATTTTTTGTTTTGCAGTGGTATCGGTTTAATCTCAATCTCATGGACCAGGGCTTTTGGTCTACCTCTCATGGCCAGTATTAATGTAAATTAGTAGGTAATTATTAGTTAGTGCAGGCTTTGGGGAGGTTTCAGCCTATAAGTAACTTTTAATTTTCCCTAGGATTTGATAAACACTGAATATACAGCTGTGACATCACCATTTGTATATTAATACAGTATCAGTATAGTAGCATTAGATGTTATTATCTCATTCTCGTAATATATCTATATATTATTATACTATTATATTAGTATATAATGAGTGTATTAGCAATATATTAGTCTATTTATTATTATATTGACACACAGCAGGCAAGCACTCACACATTGAATCAGAAGGACAAACAGCCAAGTTTAGAGTACAGCCACACACCCCATGTCAGATGTTGGCCTTTAACATCTCAATGGGCAGGTAAATCAGTAATTACTGGAGTAACTGGTCCTACATCACACACACAACAGAGGACCATGTGCCATGATCCCAGCATCCAGGAACATGCCAAGGATCTGCCTCACCATTCCCTGTGCCCCACAGAGCATCCCCATACCAGCCTACAGGAACCCAACCACAACAGACTCAGAATTACACCAGAAACTTCTCCATATTCCATTTGAAGCATTTCCCTGCTCTTCAGCCAGGCCTTTTGAGTTCTCTTATTTCAGTTTCTTCAACTAAGGGTTTTCTAGTTTGCCTTCATGTTGACTAAACCAAGCCCTTTTTTATTTTTAGCTCTTTGCTTTCAGAGGGAGCAATGTATTTTTTACTACTTACAGGTATAGAAAGGGCCACTGCCAGAAAATACATGATGAAATAGCAGGCAAAGGTTTCAAAACCCACCTAAGCGACTTAAAAACATAAGTGTTATTTTCAAGAGTGATGGAGGACTTAAATACCAAGTACTGTGTTTAGTAACAGATTTTAAAAAGTAATTACCTACCTATGGAGATCACATATGACTTTAAAAAAAATTCTCAACAATTAGCATTAGTAATTAATAATATTTTAAATGTTTCATTTCAGCTGTGCTCAAGAAGTCATTTGTTTAGTCATGGGAGAAAACACTCCTGTATGCCCTGAGGTTACTAGATTTCTTTGGACATCCTCATTCTGAACAATTTAGGAATGCAAATAGGACTTGGACTTTTGTCATGAGACTATTCTTGAAAGTTTTGCCTGAAAACAAACTTTGTCCTGCAGTTAAATTTTAGGTATGTCTACCTTGTTTTCCATTAGCCAGAAAGAAAGGAAGTGGACTTTATCTGAAACCACACAAAAATGTTGGACTGCACTAGAATGTCTATGTCCATGTTTTATATATCCTCTAATTACTGAACAGCCATGACTATAGAGGGGAAATAACTTGCCAAATTAGTAGCCTTCAAACTGTCGCTTTTTATAAAGAGTAAATGATAAAAAGAAATGTAGCACTCATTTGTTAGTCATTTTATGGGTAGCTTTAATCCGTTTTGTGCATAGACTCCAGTTGTTGGTATTGTTTCCACTAAAAAAAAAATAATTTGGCTGCCACTGCAACATTTTAAGCTTTCACTGTTACTATAAAAACAATCCCCAGGAGATTTTTTTTTTTAGTCTCCTTGTATTGCTGGTTTGCAAGGACTTAGGAAGTAAAAGTTTAAAACGGCCTAGTAACAGACAAATCACTTTTAAAAGCCAGCATTGTACTGGCCTGGGAGTGCTACAGGAAAAGCTACTTTAAAAAAAAAAAAGGAAAATGCAACAGTACAAAAGCTAAGCAAGCCTAATTATTTTTTAAACAAATATATGGAGGTCATCTAAACTATGAATGCATGAGAGGCCTTTTCCTACATGTGAATTGTCAGATCCATGCTGGATAGGCATCCAGGCAGAGCTCGGCTTTGTAACACTGCTCCCAGTAGGAAGGCATCTCGGCGTTTGAGTAATGTACTTTAAAACAACAACATACTTTTTCTGAACGCATTAAGGGTGAAGTTTTCAAACTGGGGTACCTAAAGATAGATCTGTCTTGTGACAGCACAGAGCTATCTCTGGTCAAGAGTTTTGGTGTAGCCTCAGGCTTTTTGGGTAGGTGTGTTAAATAACACATTTTCAGCGACTGCAGTAAAACTTTGTGATTTTCTAATTTTGGTGGGGAGGTTTGTCTGTAATGAAAGTGCTGCCTGAGGTCTTCAAAATATTTCAAATAAACAGACAAGGCTTTTCAGTGGAGTACAAGAAAGAGAGGAACAAAAGTCCCACTGGGATTTAAAGAGATTTGGGTGTTCAGCTCCTACAAACACCCTTGAAAATCCCAGTCCTCTTTCGTAATTGACGGCTGAATCTCGACAGATTTGGTGGTTCATTTTGGCTCATTGTCTGCATCCGCTCAGGCTGGAAGCTGGCCCGGGAATTTCGTTAGACCATGAGAAGTTTCCAGGAGAGTTTTCAGCTCTTGGTTCCCAGGTATCTGAGGCTCTGCCACTTCCACTTCCCCCAGCCAGAAAACGCAGAGACGTGCAACCGTTCGCAAAAAAAGGCTGGCCAAACCCTTCCTGAATCAAAGGAATATTCATGTTTTGGATCAAAGACTGGGGGAAGGATTTGACTAGCTCCTGCATTCTCTGTCCTGTGCTGCCAATGTCTGGTCCTAAATTATATCCATTGGCCAATGTAGAACATCTTACTGAGGTTATTTTTTAGCACAAGTAAAATAAATAGTATCAGGTTTTGATCCTTAGGAGGAACCATGCAAAACCGTTCTTTAGCATATCTTGTTTTTAAGACTCCAAGTCTCCATTTTCAAATCACTGGGTCTAGAGCCAGGCTCCAAAATATATCCTGACGCATGCAGCCAAGCAATCATCTTTCTATGGAAAACCGCTGAGCACCTGCTGCTGCTCCTCCTGACGCCCTTCTCATGGCAAACTAAGTCATTTCTGCACGGGCCAAGCACCTCCATCTGGCCTCAAAGAACTTTCCAGGACCTGAGAGCAACTGAGGAAGGCTCAGCCCCAGACATCAGCATGGATGCCTTAGGCTGGGGTGGCTCTGGGAGCTCTAGCTGTGGTCCAGGCACGCAGCTAGTGCAGAACAAAAAGACAATCACTGTGTCAGAGGGCTCACACTGGATGTGCCAGACTCCACATTACACTCTCAAAAGGCTAAAGCAACGCTCCAGCAATTAGCACGTGTAAAGCCCTCAGCTATTTATGTCCTAGGAAATAGCTTGGATTTTATTATTTTTGGGTTAAGCCATTCCAAACGGCAAAGCAGCAGTTATTTGTCTGCCATCTATTGATGTGCTGTCTTGATCTCTAATCGAGGCCGAGGGGGATACATTTCCACCTTTAATCCTTCAAACTTTCTAATGCTTTCATGTACAAATGTATACAGTAACTTGGCATTAGCATTCCACAAATATGCAAATTGTCTGTCAGATTGGACAGGCTGCATGCATTTGAAGTTGTGTTGACAGCCTACAGAAAAAAGACATTCTCAGCTCAAACATGAACAAGATGTTTATATCCTTTTTTCCTAAAAACATACATTTTATGTTTTAAGCAGAGATGGGAGCAAACTGCAAAATTTGGATCAAGACATCTTTTGCACCCATAAAATTTGGGGATGTCTGCATCAGGGGATTTTGATTCAGCTGGCTCTTGGAAAGGGGAAATTCAGCTCAGATCTGGCTTATGTTCCAGCCTTCACAAAATACAGTGGGAATTTGCACATGAGCCTCTGTTTCCAAGTAGGTTAACGCATAAAAGAAGCGGCTCAGAAGGTGTCATTATACTCTAGTGAGCTTTGCAGTTGGTGGCAACAGCAGTTACCTGACAAAGTAC